CATATTATAAGGTAAGGTTATAAAACCACCATTTAAGATCATTTTAGTGAAAGTTTCATCCTTCAAGGCGTACCATTCACTGCTGAAATACTAAACAACCTGCTTCCATGGCCGAGATACAGGGCGCCCATATTATAAGGTAAGGTTATAAAACCACCATTTAAGATCATTTTAGTGAAAGTTTCATGTTCCTATCTCATAGAATTTAAGAACAATGATGAATAAATAATTTTCGAGCAAAATTTAAATGGCCGGCTGAATATATTACCGCAGGAGCCGCGGCCGCGGAATTTAAATGACCACGTCAAAGGGTTAACATTCAAAATATCTGCATTTTGCCCACAGAGTGTATTAATGTGTTTCATATGATTCTCAAAATAAATAGTGATTATTTCCATAAATAGCATTAACCAGTTCATCTTTGTAATAAATATGGGTAGGAACTGAATTCTTAAACAATATTTAGAGGAAATATAGAGTTTCAAAGAGTTAAAATTTCTTTGCCTCATTTGTTTGTTCAGATGAGAAACCAATGGCATATCTGTATACCCAACTGCAGTTCCAATGGACAGCTGAAGACTACAGTGACTACAGAACTTTTCAGAATGCATCATATGTTGTTGGTATATATATATATAATGAGTCCATTCTTGCATGATAGTGTGTGTGTCTAACTTCGCCAATTAACTGTATTTATAGAACCAAAATCTCTTCTCTTGCAGTATAATGGTTAGCAATCTTGTTCCATATTCATGAGCTCCTCATTTCAAACCTTATTCTGAGGATCAGTAATCCTGACTCAGATATTTTATGATTCTCCTCTGTCCCTACAAGTAAATGCTGAGCTATTTACACAAAAAGAGGCCCTGACCATTTCATCCAACCTCTTTCCCAAATTAATCCTATTGTTTCCTGTATGGAAAACTAAAGCAATTGGCATGTTAATCAATAAATCAAGACACACTAACATCAAACAAGATTCATTTTAGTATCACTATCTAATCTGTTGTTTGGTCTTATATGAGGGTTACTTCAAAAGTCATGGCAACTAATTTTTTGGGGGGCAAACACATTACAGTGAAGAAAGTTCAAAATATACTTATGAAAGGGCATGATATAACCTTCCAATTGGCTTAGTCAGATCAGGTAGATGTGAAGGGGCGTAGGTATAGTAGGCAAGAAAAATTGCACATTACGAAATTACTGTTTTTTTTCTCATTCTTTAGTTCTCGAAAAATTCAATTGTGATTAAGAAATAAAAAATTGAACACTTCATGTTTCATCAATGGAAATTATCTGATTCAAGAAATTGTCTCCTTCAATTTCATATCGTTCGAGGTTCACACAACTTGCTTCATGACATGTCCACTTTTGAACCTCGTTTAATTTGTGTGGCACCCACTTCTCTGCAATCTTGCGCATGTGTAGGTCTTTTCATAAAATTCAATGCACAGCTGCCTGGTCAATCCCTGTATGTCTCTCTAACTCCTTCAGAGACCAGCGCCTATCTTCCTCAATGCACTGGGCAATCAAGGCATGAGAAACATCGGTACGAACAGACACAGGGCGTCCACTACATTGCAAGTCGGCACTTGCTTCTCTTCCATGCTGGAATGCTTCTATCCACCTTGCAACAGTTCTGTATTGTAAAGCACAATCACCCAGAGCTTCCATAAGCTTTGAGTGACATTCAGTTGCATTTCTGCTGTGAAGCACTGCTATTTTCACGTAACAACGGTGTTCCAGCCGGCTAACGTTCATTCTCGATGAAAGTTATCATCACACTGACTTCGCGCTGGACTCGCTCCATTGTCCTTGGACTTCCGCATCATCTAGCGGCATCATTAGAAATCAAGACATTGCTGTCTCCCAGTGGCAAAATTTGTAAATTCCAGTCGGAGCTTTCTAAATTTCAGAAAAATTATGTTGTAATGACTTTTTAAGTAACCCACATATGTTATCTCCTTCCATGAGTTTTATTGAACTTGATTTGGATACTTAACATTATCAGCTTTCTGAAATTTGTCCATTGCCGTTATTCTAAAATATAACATAAATAGAATAGAATTTTCCCATTTTCTTATTATCAGATGATCAAAGAAGTCCAGAGAACTAGTAATACTATGTGTAATGCACCTTAATTGGAACTGTTTAGCATTGGTTGTTTTGGACAATTTCAACAGTGATACTGAATATGTATGAATGTATGAATGAATGAATGAATGAATGAATGTACAAGGGGTGGGCCCTCTTGGCCCTTGCACTGCGACCACAGTGATCTATTGTGCTTCCCATTTTGATTATCCCCTCAGCAATCCTGCACTTTGAATGAAGTGCAGAATTTGTACGTGGGGACATCGAAATAGTCACTTGGTTCCATAATCTTAAATAATCACACAGGATATGTGTGGCTGTTTCATTTTCTTCTTGACACCTCTCACAAGTTGGACTGTTACTTAGTCCCAGTTTGAAGAGGTGTCCTTTAAGGTGACAGTGTCCTGTAAGTAGTCTTACCACCCATCGTAGCTGGTTCCTGTTTAACTTCAACAGTTCCTTCGCTCGTTTAGCAGAGGGTCCTCATATGAGTCCTTTTACTTGCCTGAGTCCAGTTAAGGATCCCCAGTATTTATTGTGATTCATATTTGTCCAGTCCCTGATTGCCTTTCTGGCAACTCCTATAGAGATTCTACAGGCTGGTTCAGGTCCTGTGAATGGATGTTCAGCTCCAATCTTGGCCAATTGATCTGTTGTTTCGTTTCCAGCAATACCCTCATGCCCCAGCACCCATGTCAGTTGTACCCTGTTATGTTTGGCCAGTTCCATGAGGGTTTGGTGGCAATCCCAGACCAATTTGAGTTGATCTGGTGTTTGTCAATTGCTTTAAGTGCAGCCTGGATGTCAGATAGAATGTAGATTTTCCTATTTCTGTAGTTCATATCTAGATTCTCCATAATACATGCCTTAATGGCATATACTTCTGCCTGGAACGCTGTCATGTACTGCCCAAGGCTGAAACTAAGTTTCCACCAGCTCCAGTGCCCTTATTTATCTTGGAACCATCTGTATACCAGATGAGTCATACTTTTCTATCAGGCCAAAACCCGTCTTCACATTCACTCCTGTCAGGAAATCTGACTGTGAAGGGTTTTTCATATACATGTCTCAGTATCATTTTGTCAGACCCCATTAGTAATATGGGTTCTTTTTTCATGTCCTGAGTGATGTATGCATGTCCGAAACTATTGGATCTAGGTTTCCATCAATCACCGCACTGGAGACGGTAGATTCCTGCTCTGGCATCTGCCTCCAACGGTATGTGCAGTGGGGGGAGTCCAAGGAGTATCTCCAGTGCAGCTGTTCGAATTGTTCGAATTGCTCCTGTGATAACCAAGCAAGCCAACCTTTGCAATTTGCTAAGTTCTGTCTTGCTTGTCTTGAGTTTAACTCTGGGCCACAATACTGTGGCGCCTAATGTAATTATGGGTCTTACAACCGCAGTGTATATCCAATGCACAACGTGTGGCCGTAGTTCCCAAGTTTTACCAAACATATGTCTGCATGTCTAAAAAGCCTTATAGGCTTTTTAGCTTGTCCAGCTGCTTCTTCCATGTCATTTCCTTGTCTAATACTAGACCAAGGTACTTGACATAGCTGGAGAGCTGAATCATTTTACTGAAGAGGGTCAGTTCCTTAAGGTCCTTTATATTTCTCTTCCTGGTAAACGGTATAATTACCGTCTTATTGGGATTGATGGAAAGGCTTGTTCTTTCACACCATCGTTGGACCGTGTACAGAGCTGTTTGAAGATGCTCTGATAATGTCAAAAGGAATTTTCCATTTATGAGGACTGCTATGTCATCAGCATATCCTACTGTATAATACCCATCATCATTAAGTCCCCAAAGGAGATCGTCGATGACCAGGTTCCACAGTAGAGGCGAGAGCATGCCCACCTGCGGACACCCCCAGGGTCTCTCCTGAAAATGTGGCAGCTATGGTTCTGCTTTCCAGCATAGCACTGATCCACCTGCATATTGCAGGCTCTATGCCATGCTTTCCAGCAGCCTGTTTGATTATATCAAATGAGGTTCTATTGAAAGCTCCCTCTATGTCAAGGAATGCTCCTAAGGCAATATCCTTGTGTTCCATTGCATTTTCAATGCGTGTTACCACATTGTGTAGTGTGCTTTCAGTAGATTTACCTGTTTGATAGGCATGCTGGTTTCAGTGTAGAGGATATGTCCTGAACGCCCTGTCCCTGATATGCCTATCCACTATTTTCTCCGTAGTTTTCAAAAGGAAAGACGACAGGCTGATAGGACGATAAGCCTTAGCCACGGTGTAATCCAGTTTCCCATGTTTTGGGATAAACATCACCTACTTGCCTCCAGGCCGTGGGGATAAAACCATATGCCATGCAGGCTCTATATATGCGGCATAGGTGTGGAACTAAGAGTTCTGCCCCTTGCTGCAAAAGTGCCAGTACAATTCCATCTGTTCCCACTGACTTAAATGGTCTAAAGGTATTCAGTGCCCATCTGATTTTTGATTGCTTAATTATGACTTTGGCCAGGTTCCAGTCTATCCTGTTCGTCTTGCTTTGGCAAGTCCCCAGGTTTTGCTGACCCTGTCCGTCATTCAAATTATCAAGCAATTTTGAATCAGGAAAATGAACTCTGAATAATTCATTCAGTGTCTCCCCTCCTGTTTGAGTATACTGCCCGATAGGCAGCTTAATTGTGCTGACCTTGTTGGTCGCCTGTTTAGCCATGATTCTCACGAGTCTGGCAACGCCTGGAACATCACTGATCTCCTGGCAGTGCCTCTTCCATGAGAACTGCTTGGCTTTCCTTATACCTTTGTTGTAACAGTAAGGGCTTCCTTATAGGTGTCCCACTGCCCTGTTCTTTTAGCTGTATTAAACAGCCTTCTTGTTTTGGTTCTAAGCCCACTCAGCTGTTTGTTCCACCAAGGCACTCTCCTTGGTTCGCGAGTGGTCCTAGCTGGACAATTCTGATCAAAGGACAAGATAATAGCCCGTTGCAACTGGTCAAAGGACCGATCAACATCCTTTATTGTGCCCATATTTCGTGAGACGGTCTCCAGATTTACTTTTAGGTTGTCTTTGTAAGACTCCCAATTGGTTCTCTTAGGATTCCTATAAGTAGCTTGATCTACTGCGATGTTGCTTATATGAAAGCATATATATCTGTGATCTGATAGAGACGGCTCATCGTGTACATGCCAATTACTGATCAGGTTTCCTATTTTATTGGTCCCTAGTGTCAAATTGATAACCTCCTGCCTATTTCAAACCACTGAGGTAGGTTCGTTACCTTGGTTTAGAATATTAAGGTTCAAACTCACCAAATATTCCATCAGGCATTCTCCTCTTTGGTTGATGTCAGTGCTCCCACACAATGTGTGGTGCGCGTTGGCATCACACCCAATGATGAGCTGCTTTTTCCTACGATGGCAATATTCAACGATGTCCCTCACTTCTTTGGAAGGTGGTGGTTCATCCGAGTCATATGGAAGGTAGGCTGAAATGATGATGAGCTCCTCACAGACTCCACCCAATGTGTATGTCATCCTCACCGTTGTTCTGTCTCTGGAAGAGAATTCCAGCAAGGGTAAAGCATTAATATGATTATTAACATATATGCATGATCTCACATTTTCTCCAGGTACCACAGAGTAGACTGTTCCCCTTAAATTCATTAAGCCTCTTATTTGGCCCCTATATATCCAAGGTTCCTTAATAAGTGCTACATCTACTTTTCCTTCAGTAAGTTGTCGACATAAAAAATTGCTGTAGCAGCCTTGCTGTGGTGTAGGTCAATTTGAATGAATCGTATTTTGTGTGTAAATGTCATGTGTGCATGTATGTATGTTGTGTGTTCATTCTGTAATGCTGGGAAAGGTGTCTTCCTAAATACCTTCTTCCACAGCCCCTTTTCCTTTATCAGACCTGGTTTCCTCCAAGGGAAGTCCCTGATCTGGTAAGGTCGGGTTGACAAGAGAAGGAATTGTCTCCTCATCGGATGCTCTCTTCTGGTCAACTGAGGGAGTGGGTATATCTTCCCCCTCCCTCCCAGAGGCCGAGTTGGATGATACTGTATCTGACACAGGTTCTGCCTGATGCTGAACCTCAGGATCATACAGCATCTTAACAGTCCCCTGTGAGAGTCCTGTGAATATTTTGTAAGGGGTCCTCTGTATAATAGTATAAGAGTCCCGGTCTATGAATAAGATAAGCCCCTGGCCTTTTGACTCAGATTGCTTATCTAGTACCCCCCAGTTCTCAGTATGAAGTCCTAGGTTGAGGTCTGCAATCCATTTCAGCAGCTCTTCCTGATTCTGGGCAACTTCGTCCCTAGTCCGGAGAGCCACTTTAACAGGCTTGGGCAGGTTCCTGGCATCAGTAGCCTTCAGCCTGGTCCCTGATTCTAGCCTGTGGTTGTCAATGGCTTTGGTGAGCCATTGACCAAATTGTTGGTTGGCGCATGCATAAATAAGTGCACCTCCCACTAGTCTGTAGGATTTCAGGTGTGGTAGTTCTCCCTTTGGAGTCCTATGTAACACCTCCCCCAGTGCTTCCAGAATGGAATTCTGGTCATCTTCAGTAAGCTTATCCTCAGGATAAGTTTCCTTGAAGATAGCTACCTTCTGTATTGGTCAGAGCCTCACTGTAAATCCCTGGGCCTTTTTGGAGTTCTGGCCATTTCTGTAGGGATACTGCGCTCCAACCTTGGCCTCTTAAAGGTACCAGTGGGGGTTTCTCCCTGCTTGGACGAGCCTGCATTTCCTGGTTGCTGGCTGCCCCCTGTTCCTGCTTTGCTTGCCCCGGCTCTTGCCTTCTTCAACTTCCGTCTAGTGCATACAGACAAGGCTTTTTTCACTAGACGGAGTCAACCTATTCCAGAGACCAGGTGTCACAATTCTTACCCTACTGCAGGTGTGCTAGAGGTACTAGCCCCCTGTAGTGGTATGTCAGTACTACTGACTCCCAAGAGAGTTTTTGGTTTTATCTCAGGTAGGTTCTGAACCACTGGTTCATCCCTGCCTTTGGCTAAGGTTCAACAGCAGGTTCACTGGGTGCCTTAGTGGTTCACCAGAGCTTCCAGCCCCCTGCTGAAGCATTTCTCGTAGGGATCCCTTTGGAGGGGGGTCCCTCTTCAGTTTAATGTCCTTATGACCGCTTTTTTGGGGGGTTCCTTTCATTTTGGTCCCACGAGCATTGGGGATTTAAAAGGTCACCACCTGCAGTGCCCCATACGAGTGGAAGGCATAAATACAACAGGGTGCTGCCTGGTGCCCCAAGGGGATCATTCAAGACACTGGCTAATACCACCCCAGTGCCATGCAGCCCTCAGCACAATGCCTCACACCTTGGCTTAGGTGGTCTGGTCCTGTAGTGAATGAAACCCTCATAAGCCTCCAGGACCAAGAGTGCCTGTTCCATGGGAGAGGGGTATCCCAGATGATTAATGGGAGTGTGACACCAGTTAGTCATGAGGTTGCGACCAGGGCAACCTAGATGAGAGAGTCGCCCCTGGGGGGTGGCTTATGAGCTACCCCATTCCCACCCCTCCACATGGGTTGGTCAAGCCATTTTAGAGTGTTGAGCCCGAAGGCTTGCGGCACCTTATCGGTACTCAAGGGAGACAACTCAAATAGCCGAAGTTACCCCCATGGGAGTGCTCTCTCACATTCATTCCGGGTACACTGTAGTGACACCCAAGAGTCATTATGCCGGCATGGAAGGCTCTGGTCATAAAGCCATTGCCCTTTGTGGGAGCTTGGCCGCCAGCCCTGGTAGGTCATACCGATCCAGACCTCGAGACTGTCATTGCCCGGTGGGATCACGAGGTGTCCTAACACATACCTGGTCCATGATGCGGCCACACCAAACACACAGCCGTGGTTTAGCCAACCTCACTGAGGATGGCGTCATTACCACCCCACCTACTGAATGTGTAAATTTGGCTCCCTGCCTTTAGCTGTGTCATATACTGAAGTGTTTTTATACTGCAGCTGCCATGTATATTGAAATGCTGTAACAATTGAACACTGAAAGAGTTCTACATTATACAAGTGTCGCAAAAATCTAAGGATAAGAATGGTACTGGACCTTCAGCTCCTTATGGAACTGAGCTAACTAATCAATGAAGTTTAAATTACAACCAATTTTACAGCAGCTTACCCGTTATCGTTTCAGGCACACTGCTAGGTATCCATATAATGGGGAAAATTCTGGGAATGGGAGATACAGCGATGGTAATGGTAGGATCAACAGCACATGCTCTGGCCAGGGTGGTTTTTGCTGTTGCAGAAGTTTCATGGTTATTTTATATTGGTAAGATTGATCTTAATTTTTAGTTTACAGTTAATTAAGTGGCAAGTGGTAGTGTGATATGTTGGATTTTGCTAAGGAATTGTAATATTGAACTCCTAACACAAGCTTATGTGACATTCCAGCCTGGCACCATGCCCATAGCACTGTTTTAGTTCACTGGTTTGTCATCATGTCACAATATTTTTTAATATGTGCAAAGAAAGGAATCATTTCCTTCACTTGTTTATAAAACATTGCAATAACAATGGAAGTCAATAAAATGGTAGCTTGAACTTGATTTTAATACATCCAAAAACAATCCTTTGCATTGTAATTACACTGGATAGTTTAATGATTCAACCAGTCACAAACGCCCAGTCAGTGCTTTTCTTCAGCCAGTACATTTGTTTTGTCACTAATGCTAAAACTAGCTAAGAGTACTAGCAAAAATGTTTTAGAAAAAGAATTATGTCATAATCTATTGATAATCCTGTCACATCTTAGTCTAAATATGGTGCGACTAATGTGGGCAATAACAACAAACACATCACTGACATGCTGAAAAACCACAAAGTTTTGCTTCAAAGAAATGTTTTTATGAAAAGTTCTAATTAAATTACTAACAATATGTTCATACACATGTAAATATGCATAGATGAGAATGACATTCATATTCATGCATGTAGAAAGTTTCCTCTTAAATTCTGGCAAGAAGCCTGAATGATTAATATCCATTTTCAATAATAACTAAAATTAAATTTTTCCATTGCAGTGTAAATTCAAAATTTAACAAAAATGTAACTTTTCCTGAACACCAAAGGACATTTACAATACGGGCTTTCCCTCAAACTTTCAACCAGAATTTGAACATAATCAAACACAAATGTAATACCCTTTGCTCACCTTTAGTAGGTGTGTTACTACGTACAAACTTTTGTTCCAGGTGGCACCATAGTGGCTTTGGGACCCATTGTTGCTCCAGTCCTCAGATCTATGACATCCAAGACTGTCCCGCTATCAGAACGAGGTACTTTATCTCTCTATTATTTACGCTTTTTCAATTTTCAACCTGTGGATGTAATCTGTTGGCAATATTGTAACCCAAGTCAGTACTGACATATCTGATTAACATCTAGCTAGGATCTATAACACTTGCCGCAGAAGAAATTGCAGTGCCCCTGCTATTTCATATATGCAAGTATAGGGATAAAGTATATACTCGTATAAATATATTATTCTGGTAACCAGTCAAATATCTTACAGGCCAAAAAGAAGAGAATACCTTGTGTATTCAGATGCATAATGTAATAAAATTTTACACCACTCTTTTTATCCATAAAGGGAAAGTATTTGCCATCCTTGCAGCAGCAGATAATGCAGTGCCTCTATTCTCGGGTGTCTTATATACTCAGGTGTATAATGCCACTATCAGCTCTGCTCCTGCTACAATCTTCTGGGTTACATCTGCCAGCCAAATCTGCATATTTTTTCTCATCTTGTGAGTATATCATGCAAATAACAAACTACACTTATAACGAAAAAAGAATGGAAAGATACATCCATATGGTATTTTTTGTTCATAAATAACATCCATGAAATTTATCAAAATATACTCATTTCTACTTGACATAATACATTTTTCTAAGTTCTGCAGATTTCATCTGACACAGTGGTAATGCATGTGATTTCTATTCAGAAGGTACTTGACTGGAATGCTGGATGAAGATCCTGCCCACTTGCTCTTCCATTTCTCAAAGCAAATTCTGGGATGATTCACATCTTCACTGCTTTCTTTTGGATCCTTAATTACCATTCATCTTCACATCTCACTTGTCATTATGTAATGTGCTCATAATATACTGTGATAGACAGAAGAAAGCCAGATTAGCATACTCAGAAAAGATATCAATTGCTAGGCAATGGCAGAGTAAACATACTTCTGTGGTAATGGATAACCACACAACAGGGGATTTGTTGGAAGTGGTGTTTTCTATGCAGTCCATGCCAAGGCTATATAAGGGGAATCAACCAGATTTTTCTGTTAGTCAAGAATTACCCACCTCTGGGTTAGATACATCACATTAGAGTTCATTCACACTGTAAATTATGCAACCATTATTATTAAAAACAGCAGTCATAACATTTCATATACATCCGAGTTCATTATTAATTTTGTATCTTCTTGTTTTCACATACTAAACTATTCTTCACAGTAGATGACATGTGCAAATGAGAATTTCTTCAAAAGTGCAAACACAAATTTCAACAAACTTCCTCACACATTGCTCACTAAATAAAAGTTTACACAGTGTAAAATTTTTGTCCTATTAACCCTTTCAAGTATGAAATTTATCTAAATAATATTTAAAAATTCAGTTTCTATTTAACAGAAAACACACTGCATCTAAATTACAATGAACAAGGGGTTAATGCTGTTTATGGACAAAATCTGTTTATTCTAAGAATCATATAGGTCACAAAAATAAATTCTGAGTGTAAAATACAGTTTTTGGGCGTTAAAACAGATGTTACATACAGTTACCACCTTTATCATACATGTGTTGCACAACAGTGCCTGTTCATTTGTTTGTTCTGCAGTTCCTGCATCTCATTTTTAAATATTAACCCCATTATTGCCATGTTTAAATCAGGTCACCATTGCCATAAAGGAGATTTAAATCTGGCTGATTAAGGTTAAACATTAATTCTATAAAAAATATATTTTTTGGTTTGTTATTTAATGAGATGGACAGAAATGTTTCTTTCATCCTTCCAGGAAAGTGACAGGCCTAAAAGGATATTTTGAAGTATGAATGACAATTCTAAATATAAAACCAATTTTTGTATGACCACAATTATCATGATCAGTGCGACGAGGCATATGCACGTCATTTTGGTCTTGTTTCAGTTACATCCACATATCCCTCTGTGGAAGAAATTTGGAGGATACAACAGAGATAAGAATTCAAGAAAATAGCAGTGAAGAAGAGCCCTAGATTCTACAGTAACATCATTACACTGCAGAAAATATTAAAAACACAAAATTCCTTTTAGTTTGTCCACAGCCAATGCAGATGAGCTGCATGTGTGACTTACACTGATTCATACAAAAATGGCTCTTTTGTAGTTATAATGAGGCTGGTAAAGTGGATACACTGTGAAAACTAACAGATTCACATTATAATATTCATCCTCGCTTACAACACTGACAGACCAATGTGGTTTAAAATCACTCTTTTTTGGAAAGTTTTATTTAAAACAAATGTTATCATAATCGAATTATTTAGGAGTGTGTGACATTAAAATTTCTATGGTGAACCTACCCTCTAGTTTCAGTTGCTTTCCCTCTTAGCCTACCCTAACTCCCCTTCCTTTCTCAACTCTTCCCCAACTTCCCCTTTACCACCCACAGTTTTGGTTGAGGGGCACTCCTTTCTTAGCAGCAGTCTGAGCTACACCTATTTCTTGGTTTTAAATATGTATACTTATGTCGGTTAGCTTGAAAACTGTACTCAAGTGAGTAACATTTTGTTTTCAAGGTGTACCAATGGGGAAATTTACAGGTTGGTCTTTTGCTTCTCCTTCTTTCATCCATAGTTATTAATGTTATTACTGTTGTTGTTGATATTATTATTATCATTATTATCATCATCACAACTACATTTTATTTTGTAACTGACCTCTAGTCCCTGTTTGGTCAGGTTTATTCAGCTGTTTTTTGAGTGACTCAAATTTTCCCCTGGCTTCTGTTGTGCAAATAATTAAAGAATATAAAATTAAAACAATTTCCTTGTTAAATTAATCTACAGCTTGTATTAAGTCAATATACATAAAATTCTGTCACTATAGTGCTTAGAAATGACCACACAAAACAGCAATCTTCAGGACAACAAAACCCACTGACCACTAACCCCTTGGAGCCTGATATCAAGTGCAGCTGCCATAGTACACAACAACAAGACAGGATAACAATCGATCTGTGAGCTCTGATTTTCAGGCAAAAGTGATGACATGTTTAAGAATATATTTCATCAATGTCAGCACAAATTAAAGCACAGGTGCATTTAGAAACTGTGAAAAAGTACATGTTTACTGAAAATGAGAATTCTAGTAAGCCTGCTGCTTACAAGCTCTGAGAATCATGCCTCTGTTAAATGCAGTTGTTTAGCTTTACACTATGTTTACAAAAATAAAGACTTGAAGAGCAACTTCTCCAAGCCTAGTTGTCATAATGTTATGTGACTTAACATATCGACTGGCCCTATTGTTGATTATGTTAAATCCTTGGGTTATATTATCACTTAGTCGGTTACTTAGTTAATCAATGGCTGTATCATAAATCAAGTGATCAGTCATTGGTTGAATCATCTATGTACAATCTGCCATGGAAAAACTGGCACTGGGGCAGGTTTTTCTCCAAGTACCATTCAATCAGTCTCCCATTTCTCCCATCTGTACTCCTGTTTTCACAGTAAAAAGGAAAAAAATACAACTCTGTCCAGTGCAGACTAAGTGGAAAAGTTTTTTCATGTTTTTACCATACAGAGAATTTATTTCTATAGTGATGACTTCTATTCTGATAGTACTCCAGTGCTAGACTTCATATACATGGAATTTTGTCTTGTCTTTAACTTTTGCAGATGGTTTTTGCTGTGCTTCATTTATATACCCTGTTTTGTGTTGGTGCAGGTGTCCAGAGATATGGACTAGCTCTGTTGATTGGGTCCTAAGGAGTAGGTTTTATCTGATGACAGACAGAATCCAGTTTCCAAAACGTTTTAAATAAAAACATCACATTGGATAATGTCCAGAAACACAATATTCTTTCAAACTGAATAACACACAGAACACAAACATAGGCACCAAACTTCAGACACTTGCCGCTACACAGGCAACAACCTGACAACTATTAGTCTTGTTTAATATAAACTTACTGTAATTCACAACGGTTCCATCATATGTAAGTCCCGCTTTCTCCTTCATGCTCAATTTACAGTAAAAAGTTCATTAATTAAAAATATCCAGCAACTAAATATAACACATAATTTGAAATTTAAAGTGTATAGTTTTATATATTTTATAAGGCAGATAATGCAGAACACATAATTTAGTTCTGTGAGCAGTGAATTTGTTTGTAGTCTATTTAATAACATTGTCATTCATAACTCAGACCATATAGCATTCAGTGGTTGGACAGTAATGGATAATGAACTTGAAAGGTTGCAGAATGAAGTGGCAGTATCCTAATTTATGGTACTATCCTGGAATTTGTCTGGAGATACTGAAGACAACCATAAAATGCCTCAGTCAGGATAGTCAATGTCCAGACTAAGATTCAAACTAAGCACCTCCCAAGTACATGCCAGAACTGACACCACTGGGGTAATCCTGCTCTCAGCTGTGTAACAGTGAAACTGATGATGTCAGACTTACAGCGATACTCTTGTGAGTCTGAGCAATAGTCACAAAAGTGGACACAGGATACAAAAATGAAACATACTAGGGGAAGAATTAGCCAAATATTTTTAACTTACATGAACCGCGCCATAGCTTAAGCGGCTAGTTGCTGGCTTCCCACCGTGGCGGACCGGGTTCGATCCCGGGTCTGGCCAAGTGGGATTTGTGGTGGACAAAGTGGCACTGGAGCAGGTTTTCTCAGAGTACTTCGTTTTCCCCTGCCAATCTTCATTCGACCAATTGCTCCACAATCACCCTCACCTATCATCTGGGGCTGGTACAATGAGCCCGAAGTGGCCGCAGTACAAGGGACTTAGTCCCACCTCACTAGCAAAAAAAAAACTTACATGAAACAATAACTAAGTACAGAGCTTAGTAGAAAGAGAATATGGATCACACACCAAAGCAAAATGTAATTAGACAAGCACTGAAGTATAAATGAAGTCTGGATGAAATCTCCAGCATGAATGGAACCAGAACAGATTATACACAGAGTGTTGATGTAAACTCTGAAGGTCAATAATTTTCTGCCCTCACCCTCAAACTTCCTTAAAATATATATTTATTTCTTATACATAGATTTTATATTAATATTATAACGAAAGCAATTTATTTTCCTAAAAACATTAATGTTATTTTATTTTCACAAACAGGAAAACTATAATTCTTCATACACAAGTAAAATTTAGCTATAAAATTATTTACAATGGTTCTCATAGTACTGAAATTGTATATACAATGGTTCCAAAAAATACTAGATATTATTTTTCAAATTTTAGCTAATTCTATATATGCATCCCAGGAAAATAGCATATAAAATGAAAACTAATTATATAAAAAGAGGGATTTCACATGGAATAGTGCCTGAACAATATTTTAGTGTAAGATATTAGAATAAGAACATCAACTCCTCCCTCAGAAGGTGGTGTTGTAAAAGTACCTAAAAATAAATCGAGGATCAGATGACCAACCTGATATTTACACATAAATACAAAGCATTCCTTACTAATCATGGCCCAATCGTTTGCAGCTGAACTCGAAGACATACATGTGGCACAGGGTGAAGCTCTACTACTCACCTCCATCTCCTGCCCAGGTTCAGCTACACCATCAATCTCTCAGCATGCTGTGGTGCTTAATTAAGCACAGATAGAATTTTACCTTTATTTATCTGGACTTAACCAAATCCTGCATTTTAACTAACACAGAAGACTCCTCTTCCCTTTGAGTGCAACCTCAACATTGCAAGAATTTACAAACTCCATAAAAATGCTTATTCTAATGGATTCTTGTAATGTCTGAAACTGGCTGAAATATGCAATGAAAGGTCTGTCTTCTAACTTCAATTCACATTTAATACAGTATAATTTGGCACCAAGGTTTTAATAATAATGTATGGCAACATTTCTTCTTATTTGAAGTAGTAATCATAGGGATATGAAAATAAAGAATAATTAAAAATTCACACAATCTGCAGTAATGAACCAAAGACTAAAGGATTTTCTTAAACGACTGCTATATAGGTGTCATTCTTTATGAGCACAATTCTTACCCATTGTTTGCTGCTAGCTCACAAGTCCTACCCACATTCTGTCCATGAATTTGTTCTATGTGCATACATGTGAGAACAATGTGTCAAATTGCACTGATATGACATAACAGACATAACACAAAAATCAGTTTAAATCCCACTAATTCTTAATGTGCATACATTATGTTATGGGTTGTTCTAATGCCACATCTGAAATACAACAACTTTCTTTTATTACATACATAAGAGACCGCTGCAAACCAGCAATTATACTTAACAGTAAAACATGTTATGGTAATGGCACATGAACTGTATTTGAAAGTATAACTGTTCAATTTTCTAATCCAATCAGAGGAACACATTTACATCACACCTGTAATGAAAAATAACCCTGTTTATAATATACATTGATAGGACCTGTGTCATCTGTACTTCCTGCAACTAAAATGTTACCATGGTAGCACAGTTCTCCTTTTATTATGTTCATCACACAGTCACAACCCAACTTCATAAAATGAATTTCAACAGGACTTTTGAAAGAAAGAAAAATATTATTTGCCTTGGGTTTACTATACACTGTATTTTTTCACAGAATTACTGGGGTTTTGGACTTTTTTCATCATCCGGAATTCTAGGTAATAGAGGACACGACGTTTCAGAAACTGGATCTCTTTACGTCTTCAGGTGAGAAAGGAAGACACCTACTCAGTTGGGCCCCTTAGAAAGAGCTAATCTCAATCACTGGACCCCGCTCTTTCTAAGGGGCCCAACTGAGTAGGTGTCTTCCTTTCTCATCTGAAGACGGAAGCAGATCCAGTTTCTGAAGCGTTGTGTCCTCTATTACCTAGAATTGCGGACAATGGAAAAAACCCTAGTAATTCTGTGTGTCATCCACCATCATCAGAACCCTTTAGGATCTACTGTATTTTCTGTTCTTCAATATCATAAAACAATTAATTTGTATCATTTTCCTATTTTGCCTCTTTTACAAGATGCCAGCTTCCACGGATGTGTAATTTCAAGCTTCCCATTGAGGTCTAAGTTCTTGAATTTCACTGCCATAAGTGGGGTTTATCAAAATTTTGCAGTTGTCACCAACTGAAACATGGACGTTTAATGATGACAGAATAAGTATTTGCACATATGTGTTCTGTGACATCGTCAAATCTGGTTCAGTGAAAGCTCAGAGGAATGGGAAACCTTCATGCCAAGAAGGGGGAGACACTGTATGCTGCCTCTGTAAACTGAGATTTAACTGCCAACTGACACAAGCTACTGGGCTGTAGTGCAAATTCACATGATGTACAGCTCTCAATGCATAAAAGATGGAGGGGAGGAGCCGCTCTCAGATTCTGGAATGTGAACTTTCTCAAAGATAGGGTTCACATGACCTTAAAAAAAATACAGTAAAACAATGGACGCTAGTTAGAAAACACTTGTTATGATGGTTCTGAAAAGAAGCCCCTGTTTTTGTAATGATTTTCCATAATGAAGTCCCTGTTATAAGCTATACTTGCTCTGACATAGTTTCACTGCATTTCAAGTTGCTCAACTGGTGTATTCCTGTGCAATATGCTGCCAATAACAGAAACATGTCACAAAAAGCTTGCTGCAAAAAATACAGGTCCTTGCAGAGGAAATTGCTTATGAGAAATGACAAGCAGAAAGACAGGGAAAATGAGCAGCAAGAATTCCATTAACAAAATTATTTCTCCATCCCACCCTAATCAGCATCAGCCAAGGCTTCTCCTTAATTCCCTCTTTTGTTGTCCTTTCACATTAAGGCTTACAAGTATATACCCCAGGCAAAGATGATTATGGTTGACAAAGCATTTTACAAACTGACAGCTTATGAAGAGCAGGAAATATAACTGAGAAGGATAATATTTAAAGTGTTCAGATTGAATTTCTGCATGCTTGAAAAATGTTGTCATCGCCTGGAAAACTGACAGCCACTTCAGCTACCATATTCATAATGATCACTGAAAGGGCACGGCCCACACAGGCTCACTCCCTTCTGCCAATTCAGCATCTGTATTTGCTACTATCCCCATACACGGCTGATATCTTTTGAATAAACCATAATACACAACAGATGATATCTAAAGTGACAGCTGAACAGCTCATACCCATCTAATTCAAAGATTACACTGTTTGGTCTGAGACTTGTATTTACACTTCAACAGTAATGATAAATAAAGATTTGTAATGTCTTACATATGGCACAGAAGAAAAATACTTTTAATGCATAATTCACACAGAAATCTCTCTATATATGTGCATGTGTGTGTTACATATATACATATACACACATCAGGGAGAGTCAGCAAAGAGGTCACAAATAGACAGACATAAAACATGTGATATTCGAAGCTGGAAGGAACATTTATTTCTTGACATATCCCACACCAACATTAATACACTAGTCCCATCACTTTACCACTGCATGAAAACCCGCAGCAAAGAAGTCTTCTGGCTGTTGTCTCTGCCACTTCTGCACCTCAGTTTCAACCTCTTCATCATCAGCAAAATGTCTGCCAAGTTTTCGACTTACTTGTGAATTGCTTTACATGACAAACACTTCCCACATAAACAGGAAGCATTTTTTTATGAATATCCTTTAAAATGAGTGTTTTTGCCAACAAATAACACACAACAGAACGCTGCTCTTTGGTATTAGACTCCTCAAGTACAATAGCCATTTTGACTACTAAAACCAGTCTCTGAATATGTGGATGTGTGTCTGGTACCTAGTGGTACAGATGAAAAACCTATTATATCCATTACGGGTTTTTTACTTCCGTTTGTGACCTATTTACTGACTATCCCTCATTATATACAGGGTGTTTCACGACTTTAGGGCATAACTGCAGGAGGTGATTTTCTAGGTCTTTGTGATCAAAAAAAGGTTATATAAACATGTGTCCAATTTTTGACGGTTACGGAGTTATGACTGTTTTAAACTCAGAATAGAAGGTAACGATTACTGACAATAAACGGAAACCAGCATAATACATTTAAAGTATGAATGTAAAGTTAACTTCGTGAAATTACCTTTAATTTGAATTTTTGGTGCTTAAAGCTGATTTTCGAAAATGCCACTGCTGGCCGCAACACAGGCTGCTGCTCAGTTGTGAACTGCGCGGGTAGCACGTAGCAGCTTCAGCTGCTGTTTCTTATGTGGTCAGCGGCGTCCAGAATGCGACTGAGCAAAGCATCTCGGTTCACACAAGGGCGTGTACGGGAATGAAAAAACAGTCATAACTCCGTAACTGTCCAAAATCGGACACATGTTTATATGAACTTTTTTGATCACAAAGACCTAGGAAATCACCTCCTGCAGTTGTGCTCTAAAGTCGTGAAACACTCTGTATGTATATATAGTGATGTATGGACTTGGATAAATCTCTTTGTTCATAAACCTCGTGGAAACAAACCATGTGTTAAACCAAGATGTAAATGAGAGGGTAACTTTAAGAGAGATTTTAGGCAAATAGGGTATGGGAATCTAAACTGGACTGATGTCTCAGAACAGGGTTGAGTAATGGAATTCTGTGGTGAGAGTGATGCACCTTCTGGTTCCAAAACAATGGGAAATTTCTTTAACACTTGGATATCTATCAACTGCTCTATCAGTACCATACACTCAAGGTCTTATCAAATTTTGAATTCTAAGGTGTAAAATTAATTTTTATTAACTGCTAATTAATTAATCCAACGTCACCTGATACTGTGTCACAGACAAGGTCAGCTGCTCTGTTCAAACAGCTATACCAAGTCTCCAGGATTTTTTGGAATTTGCCCTCAGGTTGTACTAGAATTTGACTTGTCATCTACAAATGAGAGCCTTATGCTCTCCTGCAGCTGCTCCTGTACTTACAATCAGTATAATGTAGATTTACCTTCCACATGATACACCAACTAGATCAACTTGGTGTACTTATCTTAAAATCATCGAAGCTTAAAGATAAGCTCCTTCTTAATCAATCAGTATACCATTTACGTGGACAGATGACATCAAGTGTAATGAACTGATGTTTAAATAAAAAAACATGCTATCACATAAAATATTTATAGCTCTTGTTTGAAGGTGACTTGGGGAGAGCATTGTGGGTTCTGCGTGCAACTGCATTTATCACCAATCAGCTCTGTCATTTCATCCAGCTAGTTCTAAGACAGGCTTGGCAGTGATCGGGTTAGACAGTTTGAGCTGAAGAACTGGCGAGGTCCCACAAAATCCATAAAGAAAGCTTGGAGTAAGCTGCCAACTATCAGGTTTCTATTGCAGATGCAAGAATAATGACCCTGTGAAAGCTATGCAGTCACTGTGTCAGTCATTAGGAATGGGAGTGTTGCAATTGCCATGGTACAACTTCACAGCTCCATCACAGTATGCAAATGCGTCAAACACATCTCGATAACCATGGTCCCTCCACCACGTACACAACTGACGATTCCATACGCATGGCAGCAGATGAACCAGATCAGGATGCTCCATTGCTAGCAAGGTATAGAAGTCCTGATCACCCAGATGGCCCTAGCAAAACAAACCAATGTATAATTTTATAACACAACCATAAACTGATGTTACAGAATCTGCTGCGTTACTCACAGCATTGTGTATTTGGCATGTGGCTCAGTTAAATGTCTAGTCCTTGTTAGGGCCATACAATGGAAAGATAATTATAACAGAAGATTCTGCCATCCTTTTGCCATAATATTGTTCCTGTGCTTAAGTAGCTAAGCAGTGGCCTCCATAGTCTAGAGGTAACGTTCCCACCTCATGACTCGTAGTACGCAGGTTCAAATACCCGGCGGAGGTCGTCAAATTTTTAAGGGCGGAAAAATTCAGGGAACGAGTCCTCCGGGAGGGACTTTAAGCCGTGGGTCCCGTATCATAGCTTTACGGCATGTAAAAGAACCTCATATCTTCAAAGGAGGTCACTGAGCCAAATTGCGGACGTTTCCCGCCCAACAGCAGTCTCTAATACCTCTGGTAGATGGGGGAAGCATTATAGATACCTCTCAGCCAGTAGAGCCAGTCTCGCTGGCTGGGCGGGACTGATGGTAAGTACCAATACCGGTAGGATATAAACTGGTAGAAATCATAGAGGGAAGCACAATGGACCAATACAGGTCTAAGTGCATGGGGAAACCAACCCTCTCCAAATAACTAAGTAGCTAAGCACTATGCCATGAAGATATATGGAGGACTGCAGTTATAACAACTTATCTTGACCTCAGCATTGGTGGAGGTGAGTGGTCAGCTTCACACCCCTGCTGCTTTACCCCAGGCCAAGGAACCCTTGGTACCCATTGGATAGAAGGCTGGGTGGGCCCCAGAGTTGGTTGGACACTGCAATCTTGGACATCTTCCAATGCCAGGAATCAAACCTGGGCTGTCCAACCTGTAGCCCATCACTATACTGACTGAGCTAACCTAACTCTTATGCTTTTGCCACATCTTTGACTAAGTCCACAGAGTATGGGTCTTCATGAGATCCTAACAGTTACTTTGGTGGTCAAGAAATTACCTGACTTTTATAGAACTTCACCGTTCTGTTCACAAGTGACAGCCACCAGTCTGCAGCTTAAGCCAGACAAATCACACATCCAAAATTTATTTCTTTAAGGTTGTGTCTTCCAGCGTTATGACACCCTGTACCTTCTAGGGAGTTACCAATATTTTGGACAAACCTGCAGCCTCTGTTTCCTATCCTGATGACGAGGCAGCAAAATGTTGTCACACCACTAGGAAAATAAAATAATAACAACCATAATACAGGACACAACAATAGCTCCATGAAGAAACCTAAAAAATGCCTCTTGAAAAGAGGCAGAATGTAACAACAATCACCAGCATCAGGAAGAATGCTACAGTATATTTCACATATGATAACGTAAAATTTCTTAAAGCTAACAATATGATCAAGACTTCAAACCTGACACTACTAAGTTTTCTAATATCACTACTACAACAAAATACAATCTTTTATGTTTTTACTTTCTACCTTATTTTCATATATATATTATTTTAATCTAGTGACTTAATGCAACCAGTAAATAATCACACACATATACGATGGGGTACCCAAATGAAACCGAACTAATTTTTTTGTGGGCAGAGCTTTTGTAGTACCCTGTTTTGCCGCTATGAGCGCATAGAGCTAACATTCCTGAGTCGATAAGCCGACTACCGTTGCTTCAGAAGGTAAGGACTAGTTTCGGCAGAGTTTATAGTGACAACTGTTTTGTGTGATCGTCATTTTTGCAATGGCTGATTTTCGTGAACAGCGTGCGGTGGTGAAATTCTGCTTTTTGCTCGGGAAAAGTGGAACAGAAACTCTTGAAATGTTAAAAACGGCATACAAGGATGATGCTATGGGGAAAACTCAAGTATTTGACTGGTTTTCCCGTTTCAAAAATGGTGAAATGTCAATTGATGACAAACCTCGTTCTGGTCGTCCTTCCACGGCCCGAACACATGAAAATGTTGAAAAAATTCGTGAAATCATCAAGGAAGATTGATGAAAGACCATTGAAGAAATTGTGGAGCTGTCGGGAGTGACTTGAAGCTCAGCGGCCAGATTTGTGGCAGTCGGGTGACTGGTTTTTCCATCATGACAATGCCCCTGCTCACACAGCCCTGTCTGTACGACAATTCTTGACCAAAAATGGTATGACCCCTGTTCCTCATCCTCCATACTCACCCGACCTTGCCCCGTGCGATTTTTTTTGTTTCCTCGAATGAAAAGAGACATGAAAGGAAAAAATGACGGAGGCGCTGTCAAGCATCTCAAAAGATGAATTTAGACAATGTTTTGAAAAATGGAATAAAAGACTAGACAAGTGTATTAGTGTAAGTGGAGAGTACTTTGAAGGGGACTGAAGGTTTGTGCTTAAAATTTGAATAAATAAGTTTAAAAAAAATAAGTTCGGTTTCTTTTGGGTACCCCCTCATATAATTGTAGCAGACACACTAGGATAACTGTATTTCACACATACACACACACATCACAGTATATGTACATTTTTGCCTTTCCCCTTTTCAGTAAGACAGAAAAAAGTTCAATTACAATTCACTAGTTAATGTTTCTGCCAATCTACCATTTGAAGATAACCAATATAGATCAAAACATGTAGTCGATTTTTAATAAATATTACACACTGTGAAAGTGTTAATGGTTTTAAAACAGTAAAATACAATTTTATTGTTAGTTTCATATAAAACACAACAGGATGGCAAAAAAAATAAACATGTAAATATGATAAAATAAAATAAAATAAAAGCTGAATGTTCCTCTGAAACACTGGTAGCCTCCTATACCCTCCATGGTATCATGAAACAGAAAGACACAGTCTCAATTTTCACAATCATAAATACTCAAATTTCATCTGTTTCTTCAAGATCCATTCAAATATTATCCTCCCACCTATGTGCTGGTCTCCCAGGTTTTCTCATTAAAATTCTATATACATTTCTCATCTCTCCCATTCATGCTATACACACTGTGCATCTCATCCTCCTTTCCTTTATCACATTAATAACTTCCAGGGAAGAGTACAAATTTTTAAGCTCCTCATATTTCCAATTTTCTTCAACTTCCTGTTTAACCTTTCAGAAACCCTCAATATATTGTCACGTGTAGGGTGGTATGCACAACAAAAATGATGGGTTCTAGCCTGGATGGTTGGATTTATTAGCACTTTGGTTGCAATCTCTCCTAATCACATTTAAATACAGGCAATACAGCGCTATCACGGATTTACACACTTTCCAGTTCACCACTGCACTCTCACTAGGATCACCAGCCTTCACTAGTTATCTCCTGGCAATGGACCTCAACAAAGAAACTCTAACAGTCTCATTGGATTACACACTCGAAGCATTAGATATAAACAAAATCTTCAAATCACATGTTAAATCTTCACAGGCCAACCTCCTGTACTCTTCTGTACTCCTAGTTCCAATTCGCTCTGTTCACATGCTTCCGCCACCACTATCTCTCTGCCAGCTTAGAAATTCTGTTCACTATACAGCTGAGGGACAGACATCAACCAACAGTAAACACATATCATGTCACCCTTACCTACTGCTGCTGTGTGACATCACCACAAATGCGCAAGCTGACAGACACACAGGAAACACATGTCATGTGATGGCCACCTACTGTTGTGTGATGTCACCACTTCTGTGCCAGCTGCTGGACACATGGAGAATACAGCTTGCTCTACTGTTCCGTGCACATATCGTGTTAACCAGTCTGTTACCTAGTGACGCCTTGGTCATCCACATTACAATATGTTTCTCCCTTAATGTGAAAGACTAAATCTCACAACCATATAAAAGGTAATACTGCAATTTTCAATATCATATTTTAGAAAGGAAGACTTCAGACTGAATGGTTGTAAGCATACCCCAAATACAATCTGATCTTAATTTATTCATGAATGTAATTTTTATTTGCTGCAGTCATTCACAAATATCTGAACACTGACACACTTACAAATGATTTATTTGCTATCCACATGAAATGATCTTGCCCTGCATTGTTATCAAGAGACATGAACATATACTAAGTTCTCTCCATGTTTACTTCCAGACCAACCTCCTTACTAGCTTCTAACGGACGTCCGTGTATTTTATACAATTTATGTTTCCAACAGATAAATTAACATTATCAGCAGAGGCCAAAAGCTGATATGCCTACTCAGTTTCGCAAGATGAGCAATACATGTCACATGTTCACAAATCCAACGCCACATCTGACTGCTTCACAAGTTGTCTAATTATGCTGTATTAACTGCAGAAGTTGTCATTTAATTAGAAGAGACTGTGCACAGTGAACTTAAAGGATTATATATTATTTCCAGCTTTATCCCGGAATTTATCTTGAGGGACTGAAGAAAACCGCTCAAAATCTTACTGAGCCCACCAAGACTCGAATCAGGAATGTCTCAAATAAAATTCATAACAATTATTGACTGATGGTATACTCAGGAAGGAGCGAATTGTTCAGTCACAGGTATATTAAAATAAGCATAAATAAGCAGAATTGACCAGTTCCAATTTTGGCTGGTACACTGGCTATCCTTACCAAGGCCTCCTGTGCTTCTCCTCAGTTCCAATAGGCAAATGCCAGGAAAGTGTGTCACTTAGGGCATGATTACTTCCACACTCTCCAATTCATTATTCACCAGTCATCCTACATTCAATGCTATACAGTGTGAGCTACTGAGAATACTGTATAAAAAAAAAAAAAGCAACTGCAATGCTGAGTATTAGAATTCACTGTACAAATTACCTTGAAATTGTATTTGTTTGTAAGAGAAGTCACAGCCTTAGCTTCCAGTAACTGGTTGTACAATGAATTTGTACGCATACGATCCAGTCGAAATAAGATAACACCACTATTCACACCAGGGAAGCCTTGATCGTTATGTGATGACAGTGGTTCACCAAACCTAAAATCATCAAAATTATATTACAAACAAATCTAGTGCATAAAGGTCCACAGTTTTATTTACTCATTTATTTATATATATATATATATTTATTCTATACCCGCCATTGTGGTAGTTCAACTGCTGTCATGAGAGCATGTTTGATTGCCAAGCTGTTACTCAGCTACGGCTGCCATATATTTGCTTATTCTGCAGTTGTTGCCTAGCAGCACGCATTGTGATAGTCATTACTTAGCAACGGGTCATGCTACACTACACATGAACACAGGCTTTCACAACTACAGATGGTCAGAGTACTGTCTCTGCTAACAGGTTTGGTGCTAGACTGTGTAATTCCACTAGATGGCGGCTATTTTGAAACTTCGCTACCTGCATTATTTAGGCTGAGTTGTGGTGCAGCGATGACCCTCCTAAGAACTGACCACATCCAATGCTACTTAACTTCACTAAACACACAATAACTGGTGTTTGTTGAAATATCCGTTCACTGAACATAAACCAAGAGACCATTATCAGGCTGTTTTTATTTTCCTGTTGATAACACACCTTGTGTCCTTATGGTGTGATCGATAAAGGTACAGGACATGACGATACACAGGAGTTAGTTCAGGTGCTAAACCAAACAATGTATCTGGTCCAAACCTAAAACAATGAAACAAATAGGAACATCTCAGGTCCTCTACTATCGCAAACTCTTATACTTGGAGGACTAGGTCTGTGTGTCCATATTTGTGTTCTTTCCAAAACTACCCAAAAGATTTCAGTAAAATGTGGTACCAGATGGTTTATAACTAAACACTGTGAGATTTAAGGCAGTAAACATAAAGACTGTGTTCTTCTAGGATGTGATGTCATGCATTCTGATAGATGGTTACTGCTGGTTATTCTTCTGTATTATTGCATTCATAATTTTCAATGAATGCATCCTGTTGTGTATCATATATTATTTTTTACTGAAAACTGTCACAACACAACATCAATAACAGTTGTAAGCAGCACTAGAAGATACCTTTGCTACATGTTTCGGCCTTCCATAAGCTCATCATCAGGCAAATACATTAACCTTTAAGAGCCGAGCGACACCATATGGCGTCATGAAAATAAAGTCAAGGGGACGAATGACGCCATATGTCATCGCGCAGTCCACACGTGCGGCCGGCTTTTTAAAATCTAATTTTAAGTTATAAATTCTTTTTCTACTTACATGATATTTGGTCACCAGTTTTATAAGTTGTATCTCTTCCCACCTGCGTTGTCTGACGGGAGGTTGGCTTCGTGTGGAAATCTTGGAAACATCCGGAAATCCAGAGTCTGACGTCGCACTTCACGCACTTTGTCTAGACGGTTCTTCGTTTCCCACGCGAAAAGCACACACGACACCTCAATTGCGAAGTAGAGAAAGTCGGCCAGTGATGTGGTTTGGCCTCCTATAATCGAGATATCTCCGATAAAACGGCAGGGGTTCGACCCCTGGGCCGTTGATGGCGAGGTGGACCCCTTCCAGCATGTTCCGCACAAGAGCGAGACGAAATTCTCTGTGTGACAACAGGATGTAACTGTTCAGATCCAGGAGACGGAAAAATAGTTTATTTGTCCATTTCTAGGTTCGACGACAGATGCTATAACTGTTTGCCACAGTTTGCCCACAGCTCCACCTGAATAATTATTCACACTCCTCTTGCCATGCTGGTGTGGTGGTCCCCAGGTTGCCGACCAAGATGATGGGTCTTCGTCGAAATCAATTTCTGATTCACTTTCCTCAACGCCACTCTCAGAACTGAATGTACAACAATCTGATTTGGAGTCGTTTATGAGTTGAAATATGTCAGCGTCTTCCTAACGAGACAGCGCAATGGTTGGTTCACGCTTTTGATACTGCTTGGCAGTATTACGATGCTAACCATGAAAGTACTTATAATCTACTTCCAGCAGAGTGAGAAGAGAGAGCTTGTTGTTTTGCAACAAGCGATAATAAACAATCAGGGTTCTTGTATATGAATAGATACTCACCCCACATCTCTGCATACCGAAATGACGTACGTGTATAATCTTTCGAGACATGCAAGACTATACATGGCTCCATAAACTATCCGCTGCTGTGTTGCCACATTTACATACAACATTCTTCGTTCCAAGAACTCTGAATTCTTGTAGAGAGACGACAAATTTGGGAATTTTTTATTTGGAATCAGTCNTGCATGTTAAATATAAGTCACAGTGCTCAACTTGAAAGTATATTCAATGGTATAAAATGATATAAGTGAATACAAATATAAATTACAATCTTAATTGATCAGTTACATAGTCAAAAGTATAGCTGAAAATTGTATATGCGATGGTACTTGGAATTTGGTAGTTGCAATCGTAATACATGTAATACTTATACAGACAGATTATATACACAATAGCTGATATGGTGTTTGGAGGCCCGTTGTTATGTTGTATGTTATTGCTTAATATTTGATACTACGTGATGGGCGACTCAGTTGTGTAAATGTCTGATTTGATGGAGGGATGGATAGTTGTAACAGAGGGGAATGATCTCCAACAGTCATGTCAAGACATTGGTGGTAATATATGTTAGTCTCTTCCCCTAAATGCTGCACACATACAAAGACAGAGAGCATGAAGTGCATGAAAATGATCAATGGTGTTGAGTCTTTTGAAATGTGAAATGCCTTGTTTTGTTTCAACCCACAGGGCAGCAGATCAAGTTTGTGTAATAAGTCCACTGTGTGAAGCCTCTCTGTACAATGTCTCTTTCATTGTCAATGTCTGTGTCTATGTCACTCATAGAAGGAGATACATCTATGATTTCAGATAACTGTGGGTCTGAATAAATGTTTAAAATAAATTCTTGTAATATGTCTTGTTCCTGTAGTCACCTCTTCAAAACCACGTCTTGCTCTCAGAAGGAAGTAAACACACTTTATTGTATGTGACTGAATGTAAATGTGGCTAGCAAACAGTGCTGCTTATATAGTCCCTTCTTCTAGTAGCAAACAAAGGAAGTCCAAACCACAGAAGTGTTAAATCTCTAACTTCTCTAAAATCCACAAATGTTCTTAATGCAGAGTGATGAATAATATACCAGGCAGTAATGTTGTCATACACAGTTCTGTTCTAAGAATTCCAGCATACATTTGCCATAATCACCAATAGAAAACCAAGAAGACATGTGAATATGGTCGATGTTATTGTGTACATAAAGGATTTGCTTCAAAATTTTGTACACGAGTAAACACATTCCTTGCTAACAATCCAGTTTTCATTTGAACTTCATAGCTTAAGAAACTATTTAATACAAATTTTATTATGACAGCTGCAGAATTTATCATTTAAATGCAAAACTCGCTGGCCTTGTGTAAGCACAAGCAAATTTAAAAGCTGTATGCTAGGGAATCACTATCATCATTATTCAATACTGGGTAGTTACTGCCAGCATCATTAAATAAACCATACTCTATACATCCACCATTTCGGGCAATGATGCGAACAATTACCTGTCAAACTCCTGAAAAAGCTCCTCAATATTTTCCTGCAGTTTTGTATCAGCATCAAACATTGCAGCACGCTGCTGATCTAGGGCAATCCTGTGAAGACCAAGGGATAGAAAGAAGAGAGCATCACTGTAGTATGTCCCAGGCTGTGAGCTGAAGTGCGGCTGCATTGCTGAGACTATATCCTGCAGCTCTTCTGCGAGGTATGCTACATCATAGTACGACACCTGCACATGATACAGACGAAAACTGGTGCTCTTGAATGAAATATGGATATAATACTATATTTATAAACAAGATTCCTTTACAGAACTGTCTAACAACTGACTGAGCTACATATCTCCAGGTTATAACATCTCTACTCGGGGCACATAACAATCACAGTTCTCTTGTTGTGTGCATGTATGTTGTGGGCATTACCTAGCTAAGGCTGCTGTTTACAGATTCATTGCTTAGCAAAAGGTCTATACACCACAGTACTATTTCCACTGTGTTCTGTGTGTTTCTGTAAGAATGTCCTGTGTTTAGTATGTGTCTTTGTTACATTTAATTCCACAAATATGCTTTTTGTGCCTTGTTTGGAATGGTAACCATGTCTGGCCTATGTACTGTAGGGGACAGTCCATGCATTTTAGTTTGCATATGCCACTGCTTCAGTTTTGTTGTTTTGGTTGTACTCAAGACATGGGATAGCAAGAATAAAACACCTCCTTAGGAAAAACGCCCAAAACAACACAATGGCAAAATGAGATTGTAAAACTCTAAATGACATAAAGAAGAAAACACAGACCACAATTAATAACAACAGAAGCAGAAAAAGGCAAAACAAGTCATAATACAAGAACAAGAATAAAACCAAATTATCAACAACTTCATCCAAACAAACCAATTTACACACATTATACATAACCCACTGAATCTTTATCAAATCAGCGTAAAACAATCTATAAAACAATGCCTGGCACATATCCCCCAAAACAAGCAATGGGAATATGAGGGAGAGTCAGTAAATAGGTCACAAATTGAAGTAAAACAGATGTAATGGATGTAACAGGTTTTCTATGTGTATCGCTAGGTAGCAGCACAGACCAGCTTCATGAGTCTAGGTAGCAGAAGTACATGCACATGTTCGAAGGCTGGTTTCAGTATTCATAATTCTAGTTTGGAACACATTTACCATATGGTGAGGAGTTGAATTAAATAAGTCATAAAGAGACTGGTTTGTTTTATGACTGGTAACTTTACACAAAACCAAAATTCAGTGGCAAGTTATGGAGACTGGCCAGATTAGAGTAGTTCATGTTGGGTCTGCTACTGTATATAAATCTCAAATTCAGTGATACACACACAGGCAGCACAATGCAAAATCATCTAAGTTGGTCTGGTTTACTTAACATTGACTTTATTACCAGAATATCCTTCCGTGTAGTTTCCTTGACAGTTTCTAAAACTTCCTGGGCAACGGGTCTACTCGAATTATCTATTATGATATGCAGTGCAACATGTCCAGTGGAATGATCAAAAAGTGAATTTGTGAAGGTATGAAACTTGCGCTTCATGAGGGCATTGCTTGTCACTTTCGTAAAAATGCACCAAACATTATGTACATAATCTGCCCCACTCTTCGCTTCGTAAGGTACAGCAATTTCTAAGGTGGGTGGTCTTCCACGGGAATCATCGTGTCTTCTTTCAAATACGATACTGTTGTTTGAACATGTATAACATGAATTATCAAACGTTGAGGAATAGCGACCATCACTAGATGATTCACTAGTTCGAAATACGTAGAACAGAATAAAGAATGTCACTCCGATTACCAGATTCAGTAATATTTTGTGTAACACACGCATCAAGAATATATAAGCATCACTGTTCTTCTTGGTCTGCAAATAAGAATATTAAATGGCTTTCGCTTAAAATGTAACAAAGTAATAAAATAACTTTTTTCTACTGATAATTCCAACGGCTTCTAAATGCAGCAACTGTCATTCTTAACCGTTCTTAAGTACGTCCTCTCTTTCAGAAACAACATAGCCATTTCTGATTTTCTGCTACCACATACAACTAACACTACCAACAGACGCACACTACATACCCCACATCTCGGGCGTTGCATGTTTGGAGGCAGGATAGCCAATTGCCAAAATTATTTAATAAATGAAATATTTGGCGTATTTAAGTCAAGGCATAAGCACAGATAATGTGAACATCAATCTTCAGACTCAAATATGAAATCATACTTTACAACATTCCGTACATACAGAGAGATATTTGTGTTCTTCGAGTGTGCATGATAACGTGCGTATGAACATCATTTCCGCCGCGTGTTGCGTGTTTACATATGGCAAGAGAGCGTATCTAGAATAAGTTCGAACTGTGACAATAACACAACGAAAATGAAGTATGGTTTTCAGAGTGTTATTTTGCTATCAATATTAAAATTTAGCGTTATAATTTGTGATGATACATATAGCTGTAAACTACGCAATGGAACTACAGATACAAAGAAGCACCTGATGCAACGCATAGTGCCACTTCAAGGGCAGAAGTAAGGAAGTCCGTGAAAAGAAGCATTTGCAATATTAAGGCAGCCGGAATGTAGAATTCAGTGCATTATTCATGTTTTAGGTTTCAAGTTGACTCAGGAGGCATTTCTTATATCGTTACCATCTGCAGTAATGCCTTAGAAATTTATCCAAATTCCAGTGTGGTTGGAGGACAAGGAAAAGAATTTGCAGTCCTAGGGAGGTATAATGATACTGATATAATCGGAGGAGGTATGGAACTAAAGAGGCCGTCTTATTACATTGTTGTTTGGATCCCCATAACCTAACAAACCAAACTTAACCGATGTTAGACTTGAGGTTCTCAAGTTAGTGACTATGACGTTTACGGTGTTTTGGGTTATAAGTGCGTGTAGTTCGGAGATAGCCTGACACCTCTCCTAACAGTTCTTTTATGGTGTATCACACAGCTATCGTATGGACTGTGTAGAGAACACCGCTTCCCAGTTACTCGATTGTTCTGTGTTATGAATCTGTTGACTAGCAACGGGCATGTTTGCAGAGCCATTCCTTAGCAGTATAGGGCTTTCCTGGCTTCACAGTTCTTGCCTTGAGCCAATATGTCACAGTGAATTAAACATGAATCAGGACCCAGTTGTGACAGAAATATGGACTGACGTCATGAGAGACTCAAGCTCTATTCACTGATATCATTCCAAAATGTTGTCATAAGCTGATTTTATAAACACAAGTGATAAATGCACTTGGCCACAGCTGAACAGACCATATCCTGTACTATGCAAGGCAGGACAGCAGTTTGCTAGTGCCTGTGGCATTAAATTTTCTGTCTCATGTAAGCTTTGTTCAGAATCTAATTCTGTACCACTGCAACACCCAGTATACTTTTCATAACAGTCTATGCTATAGTGCTGCAATACTCTTCTAGTTTTGTTCATAGTCTACAGTAAATTCCCTTTCTTATGAAGCTTCACCTTCTCAGTGGGGCTAGCCTTCAGCCAAGGTCCTCAGGTCTTGCTTGACGCCATTACAAGATGTTTCTGTTGGGAGAAGTCCAGTGAAGTGCAGAGTTATCATGTTTTACTGTTTGTTCAAGGAAAGTGAGTTGCTTGAAAAATGCAAAACAAGCCATAAATACAGATGATGTGAGAATTATATACACTGTATTGCCTTTCTTTTAAATGGGGAGCCCAAGTCAGAGAACTTGTAGTTACTCTGTCTAAAGTACAAGAAGGGATGGTAGAGGCATGCAAAAGCATGGTGCAGAGGATAGCTAAAGAGAAAGAATCTTAATGGAACTATGTCTTTTTCATCAACATAAATGACAATAAATAAAGGAAAGCCTGTTCCACATATCAGTGACTTTGATAAAAATATTTTGAGGAAATCGGTGATGTTATATTATGACAGCAGAGTGTGCTCCACTAGAAAAAATGATTTCTGATATGCAGAGCCAGGCAAAACAGATTTATGTCAAATTTCCCACAGTACTGGTTTCCACTATGTGGTCTGACAATAAAGTTTGCAAACTCATCATAGTAAAAGTGCTGTATATTTAATTGCTGAATATCACAGTGGTTGCATTCAAAGTACTCCCCTTGGGAAGCTATCCACTAATGTCAGTGTCTAGGCCACCCTTCAAAACAATTTTGGAACTGGCTTTGTGGAATGGCCTTCAGAGTTCCTGTCGTATTACTCCTGATGTCATCATTGTCGTCAAAATGCCTGTCACTCCCTCATGGAGCTGAGCCCTTCTTGAGAAGCGGCCAATGGTGCAGCTACTCAAGAGCTTCCCAGGGAACAGACTGTAGTCATCCTATATCACTGCAGCACACAATCTAATTTTGTTCAGAAGATAGTCATCCTCCAGTACTTCATGTCCTTTGTAAACATCACATCTGTATTTTTCAGAATCATGGCTGCTTCTGACCTATGGAAGTGGTGATGGAGATCAGAAAGATGAATCCTGTAATCTGAGCAGGAGGGTTCAAATTCTGATCACATGCATGGAAGAAAAAGATGGTGTAAATATGATAGTAGAATTTAGTTCTGTTCATCTAGTTCCCTAGACAGTTCCACTTCATGTGGTGTTCATGTGGAAACACAGAGTCCCTTATTATATTTAAGCATCATCCTATTTTACTAACATATCCGTCAATAATATAACTTTAAAAAGACAGTAGGAATATGTTGTTCACTAAAAATGCATTTTAATACTATGACAGTTCAAATCAATAAAATTCCTGTGGGCCTTTATGTAGTACATAAATTTACACATTAAAAGTGAATGTTCACACTCCTCAGATTGTCTTGGTTTTACATGTATTTTTACTAATTTATATTCACAACATGTTTTGGCCTCATTGGACCATCATCAGGTGAATTCTCATGCTTCTCTCGTGCACGTTGTTATTTTACTTCATGCTAGTTTTTAAATTTCATTTTTATCCAGCAATTTTGCGGCTGTTATCACTGTAACATATAACACGTAATAGAATGACTAGTGTACGTTACTTTGGCTAACTTGATGTTATCATATACGATATGTGTACTTATGTTTGTTGTTGTTTTTCCCAATTTCAATGTTCCCATTGTGGTCTACCAGTATACTGAACGTAATGTCGTTGCTCTTGTTTCTGTCTTATTCCGTAGGGTGTGTCTAGCGCTATCTATCGTAGAGTTCATGTATTATTTGAAATATTGGGTTGTATGTTTCTATATGTATGTCGTTCATATGTAAACTATTTTTGTATATTTTGTAGATGTGGTATTTTTCAAGTGTATTCAAGTGTTTAGCTTCTCTATCAATCCTTACGACATCCATAGTATCCTCTATTTTGCTGTAAGAGTGTCCCATATTTAATATATGGCTTGAATATCCTGATTTACTGCAGTTACTCCTAATAGCCTGAATGTGCTCCTTGCATCTCATCTTAAACGTCCTTCCAGTTTGGCCATTGTATTTCAATGGGCAATCCAAGCATTTCATTTGGTATATGCTGCTATTGTCATATTTTCCGATCTCGGTGAGTTGTTTCAGTACATTACTGATTGTGTTTTTTGTGCTAAAGGCTATTCTAAGTTGTGTGTTTTTTAATAATCTGGTTATTTGGCTTACTTCTTTTCCACTGTATGTAAAAGTAGCCCATTTTGTTTTTTGTTGGTTTGGATTTTCCTTTGTATTTTGTTTATGTGGTATTAATTTCGAATTTAAATTAGTGTTGTATCCATTTTTTTAGTAGAATGTTTTTTATTGTGCTCTCTTCTATTTGTTTTACTTCTCTAGTGATTGGGTATGTATGTAGTCAGTTGGTCAGATATCTTATACCTGATAGTTATTGTTCGTATGGTTTGTTAGGTATTATAATATCTGTGTGGGTTTTCTGTATGTTGAGAATTCTGGCTTATCTTTTCGATGTATAGTGGTATCTAAGTAATTGATCCTTTTGTGTTGTTCTTTTTTCCATAGTGAACTTTATGGATGGTTGTGTTATTAAATTCGTGAAGGGTCTGTTCAATGTCCGTTTTATTTTGATTGTACATTATAAATATGTCATTGACTTATCTATAATATGCAATTATTTCATGTGGTATCAGGATTGGGTACAAGTATTCATGTTTCATGTGCTGTATAAAGGTCTCTGCTAGTATTGCTGATGTCGGTGCACCCATGGCTAGCCCTTCTGTTTGTTTATAATACTTTTGGTCAAACAGGAAGTAGTTTTGTTCCCTTATTACTTTGAGTATACATATTATTTCCCTCAGTATATTGGATTGTATTTCATTATATTCTAGAATATTACTAATTATGTTTTTAGCGTGTCTTGGTATGTTTGTATACGAGGGGGTACCCAAAAGAAACCGAACTTATTTTTTTTTAAACTTATTTATTCAAATTTTAAGCACAAACCTTCAATCCCCTTCAAAGTACTCTCCACTTACACTAATACACTTGTCTAGTCTTTTATTCCATTTTTCAAAACATTGTCTAAATTCATCTTTTGAGATGCTTGACAGCGCATCCGTCGTTTTTTCCTTCACCTCAGCAACATCAGCAAAACGCTTTCCTTTCATGTCTCTTTTCATTCGAGGAAACAAAAAAAAAGTTTTGATCATTTCGGGACTCTTCTTTCAAAGCACAGCATGCTTCCACGCGACCTTGTTTTTGTTCAGCAGTCAGCAGTCGTGGCACGAATTTCGCAGCCACCCTTTTCATTCCCAAATCTTCTGTCAAAATTCGCTGAACTGAGCTCCANAGCATCGTCCTTGTACGCCGTTTTTAACATTTCAAGAGTTTCTGTTCCACTTTTCCCGAGCAAAAAGCAGAATTTCACCGCCGCACGCTGTTCACGAAAATCAGCCATTGCAAAAACGACGATCACACAAAACAGGTGTCACTATAAACTCTGCCGAAACTAGTCCTTACCTTCTGAAGCAACGGTAGTTGGCTTATCGACTCAGGAATGTTAGCTCTGTGCGCTCATAGTGGCAAAACGCGGTACTACAAAAGCTCTGCCCACAAAAAAATTAGTTTGGTTTCTTTTGGGTACCCCATCATACATATTCTGTGTCGAAGGAACACATTCTTATATTCCTATTTAATTCTGTCATAAGTTGGTTGGAATTGTGCATGTTGTACATATATGGTAGGTTTAAGTAATTTTGCAACATTTTTGACAATTGTTTCGCTAGCTCGTATGCTGATGCATTCTTCCAGTTGATTATGGGCCTAATTGGTGTTTTGTTTATGTAGCTTTATTGTCACGCAGACCACAATGGGGACACTGAAATAGGGAAACACAACAGCAAACGTAAGTACACATATCATATATGATAACATCAAGGTAGCCAAAGAAACATACACTAGTCATTCTATTACGTGTTGTATGCTAGTGATAACAGCCGCAAAGTAGCTGGATAAAAATGAAATTTAACAACTAGCATAAAGTAAAATAACAACGTGCACTAGAAACAAATACAGTGCAGTGGTCTCACTCGAGGATAGACTTCACCTGATGATGGCCCAATGAGGCCGAAACATGTTGTGAATATAAATTAGTAAAAATACATGTAAAACCAAGACAATCTGAGGAGTGTGAACATTCACTTTTAATGTGTAAATTTATGTACTATGTAAAGGCCTATGGGCATTTTATTAATTTGAACTGTCATAGTATTAAAGTGCATTATTAGTGAACAACATATTCCTAATGTCTTTTTAAAGTTGTATTATTGATGGATATGTTAGTAAAATAGGACGGAGTCCCTTGTTCCCTACACAGTTCCACTTCCATGTGGATTGTCTAGTAGCCATACTTCTCCATCCACCTGTCTTCCCAAAGCCTCTGCTCATCATTTTTTTTTTTCACAAATCCTTCAGTTTATGTGACATTTTTCTATCCTCTCATTCCCCTCACAGTCTCAGCCTTCCTGCTTGGTATTTTTTATCTGGTTTTATGTTCACGACCTCCTCTGGGATTGTATTTTTGTTCATAATTTCTTATTCCATTATTTATTAATTTATCTTCTGTGTATTTTTGCCACTACATGTAACATAATTGTTACTGCGTTTTATCATATCTTTTGAGATTTTGGTTTGAGTCCGTACCATGTAACAATTTTCACATGATTCTTCCAAGTATTTAAAAAACTGTAATGTAGTGTCATAATAGGATGTAAGCATCATTGGAGTTCCTTGAAACAGTACTTTAAATGTATTAATTTATTATTTTCAGGCAAGTTTACACTTCCTGGAATATAACAAAAACTGGAATGTGACGGGGTGCTTCTTCTCATTTGAGCTTCAAACATCAGCCATGTGTGACAAGACTGGACTCAGCAATGGCTCAATCTTGTGCATAATGTAAGAAATAGATACGAGGAACTTGTGATGCCACATATCCTATTAATTGCACCATTTGTTTAGAGATAGCAGTACAAATTAGAAAGTAAAATTATACTAGTAAGGCCTCACCATAGCTTGGGCAGTTAGAAGTTATTGTGGGGCCTCAGATTCAGTCCCAGATGACTACATACGAGATTGATGGTGAAGAAGTAAAAATTTCGGCATTGCTCTGGAGTCATCTGTCTTTACCCCTAGAATTGCCCCTCACCACACAGCATATTATCATATCCTTGATTTTCAGGCTGGGGGCTTCATCTCTAATTCATTGCTTGGCTGGTTACAGACTAGTGAAGATAAGTTTTGGTTCAGTTATTCACTTAAGTAGTCTGTCTGTGAAACATATTTGCTAGCAGTACCAAAAATTGGCCAGATTATAATCGCACCATTTTACAGTGTCACCGTGTCTGTAATTTTGAACACATACAAAAGGGGTTTCACATGGGCAACATAGCTGTATTTATATCTGTCACTGAGTCAAATATCAGACTAACTATATGCGGTGTAATAGTTGCTCACCTCATGAAGAAATTCCCAGAATTTTATGAGACCCTGTGGTTCATTACCATGTTTACAAAAGTCTGTCGCTGGCCCCTATCCTGAGCCAGATAAATCCAGTCTACATCCACCTATTCTGTTTCTTTAAAATACATTTTAATATTGTCCTCCCATCTCTTCCTAGGTTTTTCTGCTAAAACTTTGTATATACTTCTGAGATTCATAATTCGTTATTTATCACCAGTGAATGGTTTGAGTCCAGACCAGCTGTGGGGCCCAACCCATTTCCTATCGAGTGGATACCAGGTTCTCTTTAGGGGCATGCAGTAGTGTAGTTGATTGAAGCACTGTGCTACAAACTGGAAGGTCATGGGTTCGATTCGCGATGACATCATTGGATTTTTCAATTCAACTGACCTAATCCTTCCAGCCACACCACAACCCTGGGGTCGACTCAGCCTCTAACAGAAATGAGTACTAGGAACCTTCCTGGGGGTAAAGGACAGCCGGTGCATAAGGCTGACCTTACCGCCATTTGTGAGCCGATTGTCTACACAATGTGGCCTGGTACAGGGATAACTTTACCTTTTCATCCATTATATGTATACAGTGGCCATCTTGTAGTGCACTCAGTTTCACCTGTCACTTCACAACATGTTTCGGCAACATAGTGCCATCATCAGGTGTCCCAATTACGTCAATCTATTGCATTGCTTGCCCTCATATGTTTTCACAACACCATTTAAAAAGTATTTAAAAAGTCCGTATTTGTCAACTATGATAAATTTACACTCGCTAAAACTTGTTAAGATAATTCATCTTATTTGTCTTAATTAAAACCTGCATGTGGTTCGTTCACTATGGGGTCGTTTTTCTTATTTTCGCGTTTTTTTACCTTTTCTTTATAATATTAAGTATTGGCCCTGTTATTGCACACTGATCATAAAATGACATGAATAAAACTGCATATTCTTTATGCATATATTATCACCATGTACATTTCTTTTAAAACATGTAGGGGAAAGATTATTAAAAGCATTTCATGTTGATATCTGTTTCATAAACTAACGAAAGGAAACCAATATTAATCACAGATTAACAATTTAGACTTGTCATGTGAGATGAAATTTTAGAGTGAGAGACTTATCATCCATAAAGAGGTCTCACCTAATCAGTATATGTTCCATCTTCTTCAGTAAACAAATCACCATGACTTGCTTATCAGAAGTATAGGTGGTGTTACAGAACCTAAACATTGCTCATATTGTACAAGAAGAGCAAGGGTACTTAAGATACATTTTAACTAAATATTTGTTTCTCTTGTTACAGCTTTCTGACAAGTTTGGGGGTGTACTTCCTCTTTGGAATTGCTTACAAGAGAATGATCGGTGGTGCTAAGGGATTTGAACAGATCCCTCACCACAATTTCTGGAAAGAGCTGGGAAATTTGCAGGCAGTATGTTGGCATTTATAGACTTCTGAAACAAAACATAATTTGCAGATTCTAATCATTTCCTTTGCTAATGCTAATCATACCATTCCTATTCTAGGAACCCAGCAACAGCGAACCACAAAAATATAAAAATACAGTAACTTTTGTTAGGCTCTTATCATCACCAAACTGGTCTGCTATATCAGATTCATTAATCAGCTTTAACACCCAAGCTGGGGTCTGAAGCCCTCTGCTACTGAGATGTCACAAGAGGCTACTTACAAACTGAGGAATGTGCAGTTTGAATGAATTATGCAGAGGATAGAGAATATATGAGAAAATTCGTGCTTAATATGTTTCCTTCCAGGAGCAGGGATTTTTTTCTTGACAACATACCAAGACTGGCCACAAGGCCCACTAATACCATAAGGGTATCAGGGGAAAATAAGCCAAAGTGTAAAACTAACCACTTTGACCAGTGAGTGCCAAGATGTATGGTGTTCTACCTCCATTTCCCAATACATTTTCATGGCGTAGTGCTTGGTACATGGGCAGTTCATCCATTTTTGTGTGTATTCTTGGTCCCGCAGGGTGCGTGTTAAAATACTCCACCTGTCTGTCTGTAGGCATGAAACAACTGAAGAACCACTGAACAAGTGTCTCTAAAATTTTATATTGGGGAGTTTTAATTATCGACAAATTCAAATTCTGTTTGGAATCAGACAAAATAACAGTTTACACGTAGCCTTGTGTGCATATCTGCATGTATCTGAAGTATGGTTGTCTTTTAATGGTGCACTCTGATAATTAAGTCATTTATGCTTGTAACCTCAACTGGTAACTCATTTTTCTATTTGGACATGGGATGGGTGAATCATATTATCCAGTTACTTCATTTGTTGGATGATTTTAAGTTGTTCCCACTCTTGTCCACCAGAGGTGTTCACAATCATGCAACCACAGCAGAGTAGGGAACTTTGTGGGAGACCAACTACACCCTGTCAACATAACCCAACATGAAATATGGGAAAATATATATAGAGATACAGTAATAGATGATGATATTTCCTCTGTACTTTTCACACATAAGAAACAGAACTTGTGTGCAGAGGGAGGATAATTTTTTAAGGAAACCAACTGTTGAGAAATAAATCATTAAGGATACAGAAAATTACATTTTTACACTACACTACAAGTTAACAATTCTTAAAAATGTACAAAGTGATACACACACCAACACACCAAGCATGCCAGTCCTTTAAGAAAATACCCAAAATAGGATTGTTTCCATTAGTGATCCCTTTAGCATGCTAGAACAGGCTGGTTATGTAGTTCACATAAGAGAAATAATACAATTTTTGTGGGAAAAACTCTTGGAGGTTGAGAGAAATTGGTTGTTCCCAGTCTACACAGTTAAATGATTTGTATGTCTGGAGAAATTTACATTGTAATATCTTGCACTATTTATTACTGGAGCAGTATATATTACATGAGCTATATTGGGCAGTAGTGAATTAAAAATTAAAATTGAGGAAAATTGTAAATGTATGATTTTCAATACTGAAATTGTCGACTTACAATCAGTAACATTGTATGTTAAGTGAAGGAAAACCTTATATCAAGGAACATTAAATGGAGGTTTCACTGTGTGTTTGTATAGTGTGTGTACACAAAGATACCCCTTTTCTGGTAAGAAAAATTTACATTACATTGCAAAATGCTAACATTATACTGACTCTTTAGTCATTTATTATGTGGTTGCATTGGAATAGCTCCAGTTAGATGTTGCACTGTTTGTAGGATGGCTGCAACTTTGCATGTCGTCGTGAGATTCATCAAGAGGAATCCTGGCGCAGGCTGACAAACAATTTTAATGATCCACATGATGACAGAGATGATGCTCTACTTAGACCTTGACCTCACTCTTCAGTGTAAGGGGAACATGCCTCATCTGGTTTGCTCTTAAAGCTGCTAGCTTGAATGAAGTGAATGCAAATGTATTGGATTTAATGTTGCCTTAAATTATCATCAGAATTTAACAAATTACAATTTCATATGCAATGCTGTAATTTTGTTGCATTTGAAAGCTTTACTCATTAATACACCAGACAAGTCAAATTATATGTTGCTGTGATTTTTGCACCAGAAATTACATTTATTGTACACGCTGTTTGTAGCCATTAGTGTTTTAGATGAAGGCACACTAGAGACTGTGTTAATATTTTTGACATCTGCCATCTGTTTTATTTTTAGAACTCACATTTCTGAAACTGGTACTGTTTGTCTTTTAAGGGAAGGGGAAACCTAATCTGAGGCATCTGGTAGGAAGGTGTAGTCTCGTTCAATGGACACTAGATATAAAGTTCACTGGCATATACATATGTTGCGGCTGAGTGAAGGATCAAGTACATTAGGTCATAAAAGGAACAAGTGGTATGAGCCTGCTTAATTTAAGCAGTGAATCGGTTTTTTCATATCCTCATCCTTTGCCTCTGTTCTGTCTGTCTCTTTCCTTATCCCTTTCATACCCTTATCTTGTCTGCTCCTTTCTGGTAAAACAGTGAATTCAGTTACATATTTATCGTTCAGATGGCTCAGTTTAAAACATGTCACCTGTGTAAGTATAAGGAAACTGTGGAGACTTTAACCTTAAAAGTATATCACACCAGGTTTATGTATTTGTTTTATAGTTTTCATCTGGTTGGAATATGCTTATATTTTTAAGGCAGTTCCTAATGCAGATGATTCTTCATCCAGGTGGTATAGGCTACACACACCACTGAACTCTGCATCCAATGCCCAGTGATCATTTGAATAGTCTCCTCAGATTAGGTTCTTCATCTGAAGATAGAGACAGAACCAGTCTCCAAAATGCAGTATTGTAAGAATAAACTTTGACAATGAATAAGCTGCAGCACATTCAAATAGGCTATTACCATGACTAGCAAAGTCAGTTCAGGTTGTGACACTGCTTATTCTGTCTACATATATATCGAGAAAAACTTTATTCAGTGTACAAATTTGTATTAATGATTCAGGTATTAACTTTAAATAAAGGAAATATTATTCAGAATTTGCTGGTATGTTTATTAGTACTATAATGGGTGATAGATCCTGGTGAGAATTTTGATTGGCCCGAGAGAGAACAGTAACAGTATTAAAAATTCATCATGTAGTATTACATTTTTGTATGTTTTGTCAGTATGTCTGATGTTTACTGAGGCACATAACAGTGTTTCAGCATAGCCATATAGGATCTCAATTTCCTGTTCTTGCTGCAAGTGATGCTGCAGTAGAAAAATAAAAATATGCATTACAGTTGTTTTTGATTGGATTAAGCCCATTCTCTTATGTGACTGCACTGTAACAGAAACAGTTAACCCTTTCTGGTCATATGTTGATATATAATTGACATGGTGACGGTGCTTCCACGGACAAAAGTCGATAAGTTTCTTTTCGCGTTCCTCTGGTCATATATTGATCATATGTTGCTACTGACCACTGTATTCCATGCCAGCACATACATGAATGTTTCATCTGCCATCTGGAAGTCTCTGAATTTCTTGAGGAATGAAAACCATTTATATATTACGATGTGTCATATGTTAGTAGCATGGTTTTATGTTCAGCCAAACCTTGGCCCTCTGGATTGAAGAAACTGAGATATAATCCCTTGTGTGATGTGGATGAAGAATCTACAAGTAGTAATGATATGTTAAGTGAAGAAGTCATTATTGACTCTAATGATGTAATTAAATTGGAAATTGAAGTACAAACTGCAAGTGAAGAATGGAGCTTTGAAATGTTGGAAAATGAGAGTGAGAGTGAAACAAGTGTTGCGTGGGAAGATTAGACTGTGGGCATCAAGAAACCTAAGGCATACACATTTACTAAAAATGCAGAGTCACAGTTTAACCTTCTGCCAGATGCAGACTCCATGTGTTTCTTTTATTTCATTTTTTCAATGATGAGCTTTTGAATAACATTGTTATAGAGACAAACACGTACATGAGACACAAAATTGCTGAACTTCAGCTAAGCCTGTGGTCTGATTTGTCTGTTCCTGAAGTGGTCATTTTTAGGTCTAATTATAAATATGGGGCTAATTCCATTACCCGACATAAAAGACTATTGGTCTAGTGAGAGAGAAAAACAGATAAAATTTTTGGTGATATAATGTTCAGAGATCATTTTTTACAGATAATTTGGATGATGCATGTGGGGAAATGATACACCAAAGAAAGCAGTTAGGCCATAAAAAGAACAAAGAAAGTACATGGGGTCATAGAACATACAGAGAAACAATTTCAGAAGAATTCTGTGCCAGGTAAAGCATTGCAGTAGATGAATCAACAGTTGGGTTCAAGCGCAAAATAATTTTCAAAATTTATAATAATAACAAAAAAAGCAACGAAGTGGGGTATCAGATTATTTGTATTAGCTAAAAGTGACACAGGTTATGTTCACAATATAATTCCAAATTAAAGAAAACTTAGAGGTGACTAGTGTAACTTGCCATACTCTGAAGAATCGTTCATTTCAAGAGTCATTTGTTCCTTCATGGACAGACTATGACTAAGTATGTCTGGTATTGAAGACTACAACCTTTTAACTGACAGATATTATATCAGCGTTGAGCTGGCCAAAGAATTTGACAATCGAAAAGTAAGTACACATTTTTATTTTTTACTTTATGCCCTTGTTGCGCCAACAAACCCATGACATCCTGGATGCAGATTTGTTCATAATGCTATGACCAGAAAGGGTTAATAATGATAGGTAATTACAGAAATGAAACATGAAAACATGGGACAATAACAGATACTAGGATGTCATAAGGTCAGGAAGGAAAGGCAGACATTTAAACATCTTAAATAAGTATCACATTTACAAAATTAGCAGGAACAACTTACACGTGAATGATACACACAATACAATATTCCAAACAGTACATGAACTTTATGACAGGTAGCAGTATTCAGGATACCTAGAAAGATATTTAAGTGAAAACAATTACAACAAAATCAGTACAAGGAACACAAAGCAACACTAGACACAACCAAGAGAGCAGCACACCCAAGGGACACATAAGTACAAGAAATACAGCATCTAGGTACACAAAGATAGCATAACCAAAGCATTAAGGACAGAATAATATTAATAAACAGTTATTATACACTGCAGAGAAACAGCCACAATACAAAAGATAGGAAGGAAAACATCCTGCATCAAAATTAATGATAACTGTGACATGCCTCAAGAGTACTATTTGACCATGTGCACAGTGCAGTACACCAATCTGTTGCCTGAAGATGGCTGTGTGTGACTGAAACATGTAGCATAAACACTGAATATACATATTGTACTTTGTATTGTATTTTAATGATATTTTAAACATTTAACAAATATTTTAGTGAATTAAGTGTCAATTAGTGTTAAATTGATACTGTTGCATTATAGAATGAAAAAAAGACTACAAGTGATTGAAAAGAGTATAAAGTTCAAGTTTTCATGGCAGTAACTGTTCAGATTACGGTCTTCTGGGTTGTGAGACCATGGAGTCTTGTAGGCAGATATGTTTTGGAGGAACATGCTGCCTCCATTTTCAGTGTTAAAATGTGTCACTATGGCCCAGGGAAGGTATCCCTGTAACAGGCCGTGGAGGCCCATAGGGTTGTGAGATGTTGAGGTTCCCAGGTTTTCTAGACAATCGGCTCATAGATGGCGGCAAGGTTGTCAGCTCTACACGCCAGCTGCCCTTTACCCCCAAAAACATTCTTCCTGGTACTCATTTCTGTTAGAGGCTGAGTTGACCCCAGGGCCATAGTGCAGCTGGAAGAATTAGGCCAACTGAAAAAATCCAATGACATCGGGAATTGAACCCGTGACCTTCCGACTTGTAGCATAGTGCCTCAACTAACTACTACAGCCTGAATTACATGAATTATTATTGTATTTTTGAGACTATAAAATTCACACACTTATTTGAGGGAGAATTTTAGAATGAAAAGCTGCTGTAGCTTAGGAATATGAGCTGCACACAGATTTTAGGCAGTATTTACCAAAAAAATGTCTTATACTCCAAAACTTACAGTTACAGTGCTAACTAGCATTGTTAATGAGGGGGTTAAGTGTGAGTCTGACTTTAGGGAAACAGAATTTTATATTATGGTCTTCTGGGTTGTGACACTATGTAGTCTTGTAGGTGGTTCCAAATATTTTGGAAGAACTGTGCCCATCTCCTAATCTGACCACATCAATCCTGATCACATATTCCACCCTAGCTAACCACTCACCTCACTTAAACACATGAAATCTGACAGAAAACTACCTAATCTGATAAAAGCAACCTGAACCACCTGGCTTGTCAGACCACCTAATCCTACCTGACCTGACCCAAAATCAGAGATTTTAAGTTCTTGCAGTGGTCTCAATGTTACACTCTTCTGGTATATGACACTGAATAGTTTCGTAGTCCATCCTCCACTCTGAGGATTGAGGCACCAGGTTCTTGTGAAACAGTGATTCATTTCTACCTAAATACATAGTGTTACATCCCAGAAGACCATAATCCAAACCCAGCTTACTCCACTGCATACCATACATGCCATGTATAGTGTGCTTCCTTCTCCTACATTAAATTTGTATGACCTAGAATTCTGTGTCTTTTATACATGCTATGCCACCCCACCCCACCCCATCCTGCACAAAGTTGCAAACATCTGATCAATAGATTTATTGTGTATAATCAGTTCCTTTGTTAATATTGTGTTTATGAATCATCCCTCTCCATTCTAACCCACAATTTATCCTTTTCCCTTACCTATATTTCCTCTGCTGATGAGGTTGCAAAGCCTGACTGGAACAGTAATCAGGAGAGGATGAGGAGATATGATACTTCACTGAAGATGATGGAATGCACTGCAGGCTGATGGCACTGGTTTCTTTTGGGAATTTAGGCAGCTGTCTTTTTTTTTAATCAGTGAATTTCTTGGTGACATGTTTTGGAAGATAAAAACTTGTTATTGTTATTGTTGTGTGGTCTGTTTTTAAAATAAATTACTATTAATTTCTTTTAACAAATATAAGATCTGAGATTCTCATGGCAGGGACTGTGAAGATTACTATCTTCTTAAATG